ATCCTAGGACTAGGATATCATCTAAGAATGCTAAGGCTATCTTCCAGTTGAGTCTGTGTAACACCAAATTTATGGCCCTAGCAAAGGTTGCGGGGGCATTACACAGACCAAACCCCATTCTAGTAAATTCAAATAAGCCATATTTCGTAATAAAGGCAGTCTTTTTCCGGTCTTCCGGAGCTATTCTAACTTGCCAATAAGCCGCGTTAGCGTCAAGCTTAGAGAACCAGCGGTTTCCCGCTAGCGTGTCCATGCACTCCTCGATGAGTGGCAGAGGGTACGTGTCCTTGACTGTCACCTTATTCAGGGCTCTATAATCCACGCACCAACGGACGCTGCCATCCTTCTTCCGGACCAGAACTGGGGCGGACGCCCAGTCTGAAGAAGACGGCTGTATGACTCCGGCTTTTAACATCTTATCGAGATGACCCTCTTCCTCCCCTTGAAACACAGCGGGAGTGCGACGCATCCGCTGTTTGACAGGAGACGCGTTACCAGTGTCGATTTGGTGCTCGATCTCGGAAAAGTTTCCGAGATCAAGGTCATCTACCGCAAAGACGTCGGCAAATTCTTTAACTAGTTCCGCAGCCTGAGACCTGACTTCCACAGGCGCGGTCTTGCCTAACTGTTCTAGCAGTGGGGCAATATGCTTATTACTGTTTCCCCCCTCGGCTGACACACGACGCACTGTGGGATCGGTACCCTCAACTGACACCGCAGGGACGGCTTCCCCTAACTTGGCACCAGTCTTTATAATGTGGCTCCTGTCAGTCAAGTTTAGTATGCACAGTTTGGCTTCCTTTCCTGCAGCGTTATATGTCCGCGAGGCTACTATACCAGGCGGAAAAATGTTAGCTGGTTCCAGCATAAATTCTGGCATCTCGGAACTAAGGGTGCACTCGATAACTTGGGCAGTGTGCGGAGGGACCCGCACTCTGCGGACTGAAACCGCATCGAGTACTGGCACTGTTTCTTCAGAACTTAGGGCAAAATGCGTGTCTATGCCCTTGACCCTTAGAGTACCTGCTTCGCATGAAACTTCTGCACCATGTGTGCGCAGGAAATCAATCCCCAGAAGCATTTCATCTTGCAAAGGGCCAACATAGATCGGGTGATAAAAGTCATAATCCCCAATGCGTAAGTTGAGATTTCCGAGGTACTGGGCGGTCATACCAGCCCCCTCGCCAGCTAGCCTAACATTAGTGTCTCTAACAACTTTGGGCTGCGGCCTCAAGGACTTGTAAATTTCACTTGAGATTATTGTGATGTCGGCTGCTGTATCTATAGTCGCTTTAATATGCTGACCTCCTATGCATATGGGGATGCGCCATGCACCCGAGCCTATGCTATGACTCCCTGACCTAACTGAGGGTATAACATAAGTGGCCTTGATAGTCGGAGTGTCAGCAAAGGTCACCCTATTAGCACTAGTCGGGCGCTCCCCAGTCCCAGTCTCTGCACATTTTTTCAGACACGGGCACAAGGGCTGCGGGTTGCTCCTACGCGGACAATTCCGCCGTACGTGCCCCGGTTCTTTGCACTCAAAACAAACAATTGTCCCTGAACTCTTAGAGACCCCTTGACTCGCTGATTTCCCCCCTATAGGCTTACGTGTAGGGCTACGTCCCCTACTACTCTCCCTAAAGTCGCATGTGGAACCAAACTTCCGCTCTACTGACTTATCTCGGCTCCCGGAGTCCGAAAGCTTACGTCGGTGAGCAGGCGGCGAGCGAGAATCTCTCCGACCTTCAGGGTCCCGCTCTGAGGAAACGGACCTCACAGCACGAGGACGACGAACCACTGCTCGGCGGCTTAACTGGTAAGTTTTCACCCTTTTTATTGCCTCCGCCAGAGTACAAGGGGGATTGTTGATCAACTGTTGACCCGCCTCCCCATCACTGCAACCAAGAGCAAATCTAACAATAAGCTGCTCCTGAAATATTTCTGGCGAAGTTCCGCCTCCAAAGGCCTTCTGGGCAGTGTCCATGACTCTATCTGCCCATTGTTCCATTGATTCTTCTGGTTTTTGAGCTATGGAGCTAAATTCGAGCTGAGAGGCTGCCCTTAAGGAACTTTTCCCGAACCTCTCCTCCATTCGCATTACTACTTCTTGGAAACTTAAAAGGGTCCCCCTGCGACGCAGAATATCAAAGTACTTGAGTGCTGCCCCCTCCAATGTTAAACTCAAGGCAAACAAACGATCGGGGTCCCCCCACTGATGGTACTCAGCGATTGTAGAGAACTTTGAGTAGAATGGTCCCCACTCTACATCCCCATTGTACTTCATCCACTTTATTTCCGCTGGAATATTCCTACTCACGCTACTCCGAGTACCAGGAGGTACTAAACTCGGAAATTGGGATGCATCTGCCGTAGTCATTAATGTGTGACCTTGGGGTGCCCAAGACCCACCCCCTATTCCAGGTACAAATGACGGTGCTCCCCCGAGTGCCGCCGACTGCCCTACCAACCCCCCATAGTAGCCAGAGCCCTGACTACCCAAGTTAGCTGCACTAGAAGACGCAGATGCAGTTGGTGCCGTCACTGGCACACCCATGCCACAGACAACATGACTCGGAACAGAAGGGCCCGTGCTAGGATGTATAGGATACCCCCCGTTCCCTGATAAAAACGAGCCAAATGTAATAGTACTCGGCAAACCCGAGCCAAGACTACTGTAGTCTACTGGAGAAAATGGCTGACTTTGCGACGCAAAAGCAGAAGTGACCTTAGGGTTCTGGTTAGGAGCAAATTCCGTGCCAGCGACGGGCTGCACTGAAGGACACTGCATTGGCAATGAGCTAGGAACCCAGGGACGCCCCTGGCTACTAGTCATTACAGACGGACTGGCAGTGACTTTGAGCTCCTGTGACTCAGTTACTGACTGCGGTTTTTCGGATTTCATCATTCCCGCAAGCATTTGAGTTATTTCGCTTAACTGAGTCCCCATGTTTGTCTCCATAGACCCCATATGAGACGTCATATCGGCTTTCAGGGCCCCCATATTGGTTTCCATAGACCCAAGCTGAGACGTCATGTCGGCTTTCAGAGTCCCCATGTCATTTTTCATAGACCCCAGTTGGGACGTCATATTAGATTCTAACGAGCCTATATCCCCCCGCAGAGATCCAACGTCTTGACCAAGGCTATCTACCCTGGTATTAACTGCACCAAGGTCACCCCGGAATTGACCCATTTCCCCTTGGATTTTGTCAACGACCCCCTCCAGGATAGTCTGTCGTTCCTGGAGCAGGGAATAAAACTGCTGGAAACCGGGCGTTTCCAAAGACCCATCAGCTCCCTGTGTAAGTGACATATCTCCGCCCCCATACTGGGTGACATTATCTGGGGCACCCTCCCCCTGGGGCATCGGTGTGCTACACACACCCGGAGCGAATTTCACGCTTCCGGGAGGCGGAACTTTCCGCGGACTGCGTTCCCCCGGGGTACTCCCCAGACCGGCTTGGTCATTTCCCCCAACATGAACGTCCCAGTCCCCACTCGGCCTCAAAGTCCCCCTCCCCCTACCAAAAGAACTGAAAACATGGTCCATCACGCCCGGTACCCTCAAACCACCAAAATTACAAACTTACATGAATAAAGCGGTTAATCCGCTTAATACAAAACCCAAGTATAAACGTATATACAAAATAAAATAAATACTGCTGCTTTACATCTCGGAAAAATATCCAAGATGGCGACGGGCACTAACACGTGCAGGTAAGGTTTTACCCCGCAGTCAAACTAAAATACCCTGGTACGCCGCGCCAATATAGCGTTTCTCTATAATAACTACTGTTACTCTAGTGATGGCGGAATAGAGGAAACACTATGGTAAAATAATCCGCTATTTATTAGTGCCCGCAATATACTATATAATATAACAATAATGACGGAGCTGACAGAGACACGTCTGTACTCTGCAGCGTATAACAGAAAAGAGAGCGAGGATAGGCATACGTCACGACAGGTGCTGTGACGTATACCAAGTGATCGGAGGTAGCAGGGCAATTTGTGCCCAGTACCTCCAGGACCACCACATGTTTTTAAAAAAACATATTTCTTAATAAATCAAAAATGGACAAAACAATCATCTAAAATGAGATCAATCACTTTACGTTTAACTGCACGGAGGTTCACTGATTTGTTTTCTCTTTTTCACAATCTGTTTCCAACAGAAGACAAAGCTTTGTGACTGGTCGCGTGAGAATGGAAGACACTGTCTTTATCCTTGCAACGCGTACAACATCATACTTGTCCTTTATCACTTCTAGCACTCTGCCAAGATTCCATGTGTTTCTTGGAGTGTTTTCCACGATGAGAACTAAATCACCTTCTTGTAAGTTTCTTTCCTGCTTCAGCCACTTCTGCCTCTGTTGGAGAAGGGGTACATATTCTTTGATCCAACGCGTCCAAAACACATCAGCCAAATACTGTATCTGTTTCCATCGACGTTTTGCGTAGTTGTCCGATGCATGGAAAATTCCAGGGGGAAAACTCTCTCCTGATCGCATGCATGAGTAATATATGATTTGGCGTTAGTGCACAAAGGTCATTTGGGTCATCTGAAGCTTCTGTAAGAGGACGTCCATTCATGATGGCTTCAATTTCACAAAACAAGGTTAACAGTCCCTCATCATCCAAATGAATCGTTTGTTCATGCAGAACAGAATACGTGATTTTCCTGACTATCCTAATGAGGCGTTCCCATACTCCTCCGAAGTGAGACGCAGCTGGTGGATTAAAGCTCCATTCAATTCCTGACTGTAATAATTGACTAGAAATTCTGTTCATATTCCAGGAATTCAGCGCTGTTCTTAGCTCACGTTCTGCTCCTACCAGATTTGTTCCATTATCAGACAGTATATAAGTTGGTTTTCCTCGTCGTGCAATAAGCCTTCGAATGGCGTCAATACAGGAGTCTGTATCCAAGGAAAAGGCAACCTCTAAATGTACAGCTCGAGAAGATAGGCAAGTAAATATGACACCGTATCGTTTTATTATGCTTCTTCCTCTTTTAAGCTCAAACGGACCAAAATAATCCTTGCCCACTCGAGTAAAGGGGGGTCATCAGCTTTTAGTCTCTCGCTGGGAAGGTCCGCCATTTTCTGTTTCAAAGCAGGTGCCTGATATTTTCTGCATATAACGCATCTGGAAATGATTGACTTCACAATTGATGACACACCAAGAATCCAATATTTCTCACGGATATGTGCCAGCGTTGAATTTTTCCCCAAGTGTCCGACAGATTTATGTGCTTCCTCTGCTATCAAACTGGCTAATACAGACTCTTTAGGAATAATTATTTGATGTTTACTGTTTAGAGTTGTATCCAGTTTCTTAAGTCTACCGCCTACACGTAGAACTCCATTATGAACAATTGGGTCTAACTTGGCTAGTTTTGATGACCTTTTTACAACTCCATTTTCACTTGAATTCAAGTCTTTAAATTCTTGGGCAAAATACTTCATCTGCACATACTTCAAAATGTTT